TGTCAAAAAATAAAATAAACATAATAATAATAATATAAAGTGTGTGTAGAGTTTTTCATGGTCATTTGCAGTACTGTATTTAGATGCACAGTAACTGATTTTTCCCCAAAATTCATTGTAAAATCTGCAGTAGCATACTGTTAATCATGTTCACAGTATGGAAATGTTGAGAATACATTATCATGCTGTGAAAACAGCAATATATACAGTAACACACTGTGCACAGCTTATACAGTAAACAACTGTTGAGAAATGCAGTATAATACCGTGAAAACAACAGAAATCGTTTACAGTGCACTGTGTCTCAAAAACAATCCAAGCAATATTAAATCTGTCAAAATTTTGTCAAAATACCTCCAACTTCAATTATATTTTGTAATTAGATAGCAAATAGATGAAATTATATGATATGTTTATGTTTTCCACCTTAGCTGATTTATATCACCACATTACCTTCTTCTTGTGCGTCTTCTTGGCTCAGTACCATGTCTTGGACAGTGGTGTTATTTTCAACAGTACGGGCAGTGTGTGGACAACCACTCCCTGCCACACTGATCCAGTGTGATTAATTTATTCGCCAACAAGTAATCCAATCCACCTTTTGTCCAGTTTTTTAATCGGAAATTCAGAAAGAAAACGTGAAGCACTGCAACCTTTCAGTTCTTGTAAACCTTTGATCAAACTTTTCTCTTCATTCGAAAACACCATTTTATTTAAGCAGTTAAAAATAAATACGTCATTTACGAAAGTAAATAAAATAATTATTCTAATGCACACATTACGCTGTTATTCCTGTATAAAATTTAGTCATTCTTATTCCTGTAGTACGATAAGCAGTCTTATTTTTGTATATTATTGCTTGTTTGTTTTTTTAAACACGGTTTACAACTATAGAGTATAAAACAGTATATTTCAGAGTTTAAAAATGCACTTTGTTGACAGCTAAAAAAAGCAAAACACAGAAAAATTTTTTTACATGTAGTATTTTTTTTAGTTTTAAAAGAATTTATTGGTCATAAACATATGAGTATAAAATATTAAAACTTATTAAAACTCTATGTATATATGTGATAGTACATATATGCTCTTTTATTTTTACCTAGAGTTTTAACAAGTTTTAAGATTGTATACTTATGTGTTTTATAAAAATTGCTTATTTATGTGAGGGGTTATAACAATTTAAACACTGGGAAAATTATATATATATATATACTTTACTTTTAGTTATTAAGATAAACTGAAAGCTGAACATTGTTTATTTATTATATTTTTTAAACAATATTTGTTTATACATATATACAGATTTAAAGTATATTTCAGAATCGATCAAATGTACTTCATGTGACTCGTTAAAAAAATAATAAAGAGTATTTTTTCAGGTTTTGTTATTATATTTATCTGTAAAATCAGTGGACCAAATTATTTCTCCTTATTAATAAAGTATTAAGTTGTCGCCGCATCAACACATGCACTCCGGTGCTCACGGCGACCCAAGTTCGATTCCACTTCGTGGTGCTATGCCGATACTTCCTCCCTCTCTGCTCCCCATGCTTTCCTGTCAATTCTCTTTACTTTATTATCCAATAAAGGTGAAAACCCTGAAAAAATAATTATATAAAAAATAAATAAATTAAGTAGTAAGCTGAACAAGATATTTACTTAATTTTAAAACCAAGTAGTATCCATTAACATGTTAATAAACACTGTAAAAACAACCATTTAGCAACCAACCCCCTAGATTTATAGCAGAATATTCTAGCACTATATTCATTCATTCATTTTCCTTCAGCTTAGTCTCTATTTCAAAGCACACCACAGCGGAATGAACCACCAACTATTCCGGCATATGTTTTATGCAGCAGATGTCCTTCCAGCCACTTCCCATTACTGGGAAACACCCATACACACTCATTTACACACACACTCATACACTATGGCCAATTTAGTTATCAATTTACCTATAGTGCATGTGGTTAAAACCGGAACACCCGGAGGAAACCCACAACAACACAAGGAGAACATGCAAACTCTACACAGAAATGCAACTAGCCCAGCCAGGACTTGAACCAGCAACCTTCTTGCAGTAAGGCGACAATGCTAATCACTGAGCCACCGTGCTGTCCTCTAGCGCTCTATATATACATTTAATATATAAACCTCAAAATATACTTGTTGTCGATTGTTGACAGTGCAGAAATCTTTCTGCATAACAAGCTTATGTACTCTTTCTTATTGCCTATTGTACTCCAATATCATTGATAAGTTATCAGTACACTTGTGTATGTGCAAAAGTGTTATCAAGCACTCCTGACCCTCTTGGGAATGTCCCAGGAAAAGCCGTCTGTATGGGGTATGGAAAGCAGCAGCTGCCGGCCACAATGACCCAAACAATGGTGCATTTCAGAGTAAATGTGTCATATGTTTACAGCAGTGTGAACATCTCTCGCTGTACCCACACGATGCCATCTCCACACACATTGAGTCTGTATTTACAGTGTTTAGCGACTGCATTTGAATAGGGGCTTGATAAGCAATCAGCAGACTGGTGCTTTTTATGCGGATATTCTGATGAAAGAGTTTGCATTCGTGTTAACAGCCGAACATCAACTGCAGGTAAAGCCGTAAAATACTCACATCTGATTGCTGGAGATGCAGGCATGACCAAAAAAAAAGTATATTAAAATAGAAGTCATTTTATTTGCACAGTTATGATGATGATGTGGAACTATATGGTTATTTTTACTAGGAATTCAACAAAACATGTACTTTTTATGACTTTGCATCCCTTATTTAGTTTGTTGGTTTGCAATTGTCATAATTGATTGTCCTAATTATTTACTAAATAATATGCAGTTCAACATTTAGGATTGAAATACTGAGTGCAAACATGTGAAATGAATAACATTTAAACATTCTAAAATGCATTTGGGTCTGTGATAAAATATTTAAATTTAATTTATTTTAATTTCCTTTTATTTTATTTGACTCAGATCAGTTAATAAAATGGTTCCTATAAAGTTAATCTTCTATTAGGTTATAAATAAAATATATTACTAAAAAAATATATATTAAACACTTAATGTAGCCGGTACTGTTACTATAAAATCTAACAATGTAACGTTATGGCTCTTGTACATATATGTTTCTTCATCCAAACTGATAATAAAGGTGAAACTCCAAAAAAAATAATTATCAAAAAATAATAATAATATTAACAATAATAAATTAAGTAGTAAGCTGAACAAGATTTTTACTTCGTTTTAAAAACAAGTTGTATTCATTATCATGTTAATAAGCACTGTAAAAGCAGCCATTTAGCAACCAACCCCCTAGATTTATAGCAGAATATTCTTGCACTATATTCATTCATTCATTTTCCTTCAGCTTAGTCTCTATTTCAGAGGACGCCACAGCGGAATGAACCGTTAACTATTCCAGCATATGTTTTATGCAGCAGATGTCCTTTCAGCCCCTTCCCATTACTGGGAAACACCCATACACACTCATTTACACACTCATTTACACACACACTCATACACTATGGCCAATTTAGTGCTAAAATATATTACAAAATAAATATATTAAACACTTAATGTAGCTGGTACTGTTACTATAAAATCTAACTTTGTACAGTCATGGCACTGGTGGCATTTTACATATATGTGCTTTACTCAAAACTGATTATTGTTCTAAACCTGTTTGAGTTTCTTTATTCTGTTAAACATGAAAGTTGATATTTTGATATTTCACTTTATGCAGATTGACTTGCATTTTATGTTTGTGGCCCTGTAAATATTGTACATGTTTGCTGTATTGTGTTTTATTCTTGATTGTTTTTATTTTTTATTTTTTAATGTAAAGCCTAACCAGGGACGAGGGCTGCCAATTAGCTTTATGCTATATGCCCTATGTATTTATTTTAAAATAAAAACCTATGTTAAATATGTATGTCCTATGTTAAATATTGCCCAAATTATGTTTAACAGAAAAAAGGACTTTTCACAGTATGTCTGATAATATTTTTCTCTTCTGGAGAATTTCTGCTAGAATAAAAGCAGTTTTTAATTTTTTAAAAAACATTTTAAGGTCAAAATTATAACCCCTTTTAAGTTGTTTTTTTATATAGTCTACAGAACAAACCATCATAATGCTTTAAGTTGCCTAATTACACTAACCTGCCTAGTTAACCTAGTTAAGCCTTTAAATGTCACTTTAAGCTGCAAAGAAATATCTTGAAAAATATCTATGAATTATTTTTTGCTGTCATCATGACAAAGATAAACTAAATCAGTTATTATAAATGAGTCATTAAAACTATTATGGTTAGAAATGTGCTGGAAAAAATTCTTCTCTCCGTTAGACAGAAATTAGGGAAAAAATAAACAGGAGGGCGAATAATTCAGGGGGGCTAATAATTCTGATTGCAACTGTATATAAAAAAAAGTTAATAAAATGAAATAAACACTTAAGACATATCCAGAAAAGCTAAATAAAATAGCAAAGCTAACATAATTCATAAATTTAAAAAAAAATTTTAAACCTATAAAACGTTGACATTGTTTTAAACATGCAAGTTTTTAACAATCAGATTTTTCTCCCAGACTTATCAATATTGATTCTATTTTATTGTATTTTAAGCCTAATAATAGACTAAAATATGGCTAAATATGGCTAAAACTTGGCATTGCTATAAAAATGTAAGATTTTACCATAACATTTTTTGACAAGCACCCGTTATAATCTTCTCTCCTTTTCCCAGACTCATCAACAGCCAGTTTTTGTAACCAGTAAACTTTTCGAAAATATTTTAACCTATAAACGTATTTAACCACTGTCGCCTCATAGCAAGGTCATTGGTCGCTGCGTAAAGCATATGCCAGAGTAGTTGGTGATTCATTCTGCTGTGGCGAACCCTGATATTCAGGGTGTAAGCCGAAGGAAAATGAATGAATTTACGTATTTAACACGTACCCTGTATATTTTTTCTCTCCTCCTCCCAGACTCATCAACAGGCTCCCTCTCAGCTCCAGGTTCCTCTGCCCCTTCCTCACCCATCCCAGCCTCTCCTATCCCAGCAGCCGCTTCAACCCCTCCAGCAGCAGCATCAGCAGCAGACAGAGCCTCGTCTCCCCCCTCGACAACCCACCACCGCCTCCCCCGCCGAAACAGAGGACGAAACCCGCTGCAAGAGCCGCCAGCCCAACCGCATCTCCATGGAGGCCCTGGGGATCCTGCAGAGCTTTATCCAGGACGTGGGTCTGTATCCGGACGAGGAGGCCATACACACGCTCTCGGCACAGCTGGACCTGCCCAAACACACCATCATCAAATTCTTCCAGAACCAGCGCTTCTATATAAACCACGCCAGCAAACTTAAAGAGTCCCCCATCGGCTTTCCAAACAACAACAACAACAACAAGGACGAAGGTCTGACGGATTTTAAGGAGGCCGAGCTGATGACCGAGCTGGAAGAAAGCGTGCAGACCAACAACACCATGTTCTCCATTAAAATGGAAGAGCATCTGGCACCCGAGACGCACGTTCAGATTGAGCAGGAGGCTAAAGAGTAACTGGAAAACTCTCGATTATATTCTCTCTTCTTTCTTTCACTCTTGTCTGTGTTTGCATTGAGTGGAAACTGACTTTTTACACAAGACTGAATCAGATGATGATTAACTTTCACTTTTTTTGTAAAGCGTGGATACTTCACTGTAAAGACTCGTGCATCATTTCAATAATCTGCACAATTAAAAGAAAATGTATAAAAAACACACACAAAAAAAGGAATATTTAAAGGAATAGTTCATTATTGGCTGGAAATTTTTGTCGAAAGTGTTATTTGAAAACCCTGATTTGTTTGGTGTGATCAAAATAGCATAAAAATAGCCATTTATTAGTACTTCTTCCACATTAATATAACAGTATGATCATTTTTGATAAAACTATCGTCTCTAAAGCGTCTTTCGGATGAGACATAAATCGAGGTCCTGACTCTGTGTGGTCATTAAAAATGGCACTTGTCGTAAAGAGTAGGTAACTCTGGTGTTTGGCCAAATTCCCTCCTTTAGTGTGGAGTCAATCTAGGGCAATATATACTTGCAAAATAAAATAAAGTTTTGCAAACAAAAAATAAAAATTGGCCATATAAATAAATGCAAATCTCCAAAAATCGCAAAGCGAAATTTTTTTTTTAATTAATTTAATAAAAGAACTACAAATAAAATTTAAGCAGTGCAAAAAAAAAAAAAAAAATATTTGCAATTTAATTAATCGCTTTTCGCCTTGATTTAACAAGGGGGCGGAGTCAAGGGAACTTGGGTGTTTATAGGCCCGGACCTGCCTCCATTTAAGCGACGTCATCACCTGGAGATACAGTGTCACTGAGGAGGTCTTACAGCCCAGTAGATTTGGGCCTGCCATAATCGCCAAGATCCCTTGACTCCGCCTCCCTCTCAAATCAGGGCCAGAAAATGAAATGTGCCAGAAACGTGAAATGCAAAGTGAAAACAGCATCGCAAACTGGACAGGACTGGACAGGTTTTGTAAAGGCATTCCTATAAAAATGTTCTTCAAATATATATATATATATATAT